AAAAAAAAAAAATCAAAAATAGGGCCCTCCCTAGTGGTGCAACACAGCACCATGGAGCTAGACAGCTGCTTCAGCATGAGTTCAATCCCCAAACAGAGAGGTGACCCACATGGTGCATCAGACCTCTCCTGTTTTGCCTACTGCTCCCCTCAGCAGTGTACTCCTCAGTCTGCCTATTCTGCTCCCCACTCTGTCTCTGGTGAATCCTCTCACTCCTGCACTTCTATATGCATAAATAATCTTTTAAAAAAGAGAAAATATCCTCATACTTTAAATTACCATATATTAAGAAATATTTTTTTATAAACTCTAACAAGTAGTCAAGTCACTTGTCACAGAAATTCACAGAATACAAAAGTCTTAGCATCTTGAAATGGCTGAACTGTTAATGACATTATGTTTCAGAAATAGCGAAACAAGCACTAAAAAAGTTGAGGCAGTCATCACAGGAATTGTGATCTAATTTATTCAGTTAAAGCTATTATTCTGCTCTACTTACTACTGAAAAAGCAACTCAGAAGCCAACAACGAACATATATCCCATACCGCATTTGCTATTATATAATCTATCAACTCATATCAGTTCCCACTTACATTGAAAAATTTATATCTTCAAGAAACAATCCAGTAGCTTCAGGATATTTTGCTTTTAAATTAACTCTATTCACTAGTAATCAATTTTCTCATTCAAAAAATACTATAAAAAAGCTCCAACATCCTTCATTTCAGGATTAAAATCTCTATTTACCAAAGAGTAAATGTGTGATAGTAAGTTATTGGGTAACTAACTCATCATCTATCAGGGTTACAATGGAGACCTGGTAGTGATCCTCTCTAACAAAATAAAATCATTCATGAGTGGGTAAATGGAAATTATGCATAAGTGATTAAAGATTAAAGAAAACTCTTTGAAAAGATAATAAAGACTGAATTCATAAATGTAGAAAATAACAAAGTTGAAATTTTTGTTAACATTAAAAGAAACAGGACACTCCCTGGAGGTTCAGTGGATTAAAGCACAGCACTATGAAGCTGTCTGCAGCCAGCAGCACAAGTTCGATCTCCAGCCAGTGACCTACATGCTGTGGCAGACCTCTCCTGTCTCATCTGTTGCTCCCCTCAGCAATGTACTACTTTGTCAGTCTGCCTGTTCTGTTCTCCACTCTGTTGTCTCTGGTGAATCCTTCTTACCACCCACACCCTGCCACCTCTGACCTGTACCCCAGTTCTTGTATGCATAAATAAATCTTTAAAGACAAAAGCTTTAGGTTTGGCTTTTTGGGCTGCCATTACATAATTTTATTTATGATTCATAATTGTCTATTAACATTAGTCTATTTTTAATAGAAGTATTACAATTTTGATATAAGGACCTACCTTAAATGTTCATACTTCCATACACCTTCATCCTGGCCTTCAGGTGGTTCAAGAATTTTGTCAATATTGGAACAATCTGCTCTTATGTTCTGTTGAATATACTATAAACAAAGATATTATACTGGATGATAAATATTTTCTTAAATATAATTTTTAAATAATAACTTCTAAAGTTCAACTTTAGGGTTACACGCAAAATAGGAGGTTAATTGTAGGATAATAATCAGTAACTTAGAAGAAAGGGGGTAATCCTTAGCTATTCTTCTCCAATTCATTTCTCTTCAATTCTCTGGGATAGTCTACTTCACTAATGCACATCAGATATTTATCAGGATTAGAACTGGGAAAGATACTGTAAATCATAATTTTCATATTAACATAAAAAACAAAGTAAATAAAGTGGTTATGTAAAACATCTTATATGAACACAATATGTGAAGCATCTAGAACATGCAAACAATCAGAATAATCAATAATTCTTTAATAAAGTTTTATAACATGTTTAGAAAGTGAGTAAGTTACAAATGGAGGAGAAAAATGGGGGGTCTACTCCCTGGTGATGCAATAGTTTAAAACACAGCACGATGAAGCTATCCACAGCCACTGCAGCATGAGTTTGATTCCCAGGGTGGGCGGTGACCCACATGGTACAGCAGACCCCTCCTGTCCTGCCCACTACTCCCCTCAGCAGTATATTTTAGTCAATCCACCTATTTTGTTCCCCACTGTGTCCCTCATGAGTCCTTTCGCCCTTTGCACCTCTGGCCTGTACCCCATTTCTTGTATGCATTAAAAAAAAAAGTTGTTACAAATGGAGTTAAAAATTACCAATACTCAACTAAATTTTTTTATTAATGACAGTTAATATAAAACATAAAAAAATAGAAGTAATCCTTAACTTAGAAGTAAAACATTTTTTTTCCTGAACTGTGCCTACCATGTAGCATTTCAGGGTCTCTATCAATATATACACATTTCCCAAACCTTTCAAGTCCCCTTAATTCAATTTTTTTCTTTAAAAAAAATTTTTTTTAAAGATTTTACTTATTTTTGTGTAGAAGAACTAGGGTGTAGGCCAGCAGTGCAGGGGATGAGAGTATTCACTGGAGACAAGAGTGGGGAGCAAAGTAGGCTGGTTTACTGAAATACACTGCTAAGGGGAGCAGTGGGCAAGACAGGGAGACCAGCTATGCCATTTTTGGGTTAGCTCCCTGCTGGGGAGTGAACTCAGGCCACTGCAGTGGGCTGGTGTAGTACTGGTACTGAGACTTAACCCTCAGGCCACCAGGGAGACCTAAAATTTTGTCTTTTCTTCATGAAAATGGCAGAAATATCTTTCTAATGATTTCCTCCTGTGTGCTATAATTATTAATAATGATGATCTAGTACAGAAAAATGACTTTTCCCAAAGTCATTTTTAGAAACATGTGAGATAAGTACATAGCATATGTCACCATGCAAAAGCATTTTATTGTGTCTAGTTTCATGAACTTCACCTCAACTTTTCTCTTCCAAACACAACTATAAAACCTGAACAGGCTGCATTGTGCAGCTATTTCAGTATTTAAAAAAAATAAATATCAAAAGGATAAGCAGGAAAGACTAATGGGTTCAAAGCATCACTGAAATGACAATGCATTTACTGTATTTCTTTTCCTACCTGGAATCCCCTGGCCTGAATTCAATACAGGATGAAACCAAGAAGTAAACACCATTGGTACCAATATATATATATCCAAGATAAACAACTTAGTTTTGGTTCAAGGAGTGAAACGGACTCCAAAAGCTGAAAGTAGAGAAATTGCCTAGTTTTATTTTCTCTCCTCTCCTCCATTCTTTTACAACCTACATCTGAGATAATTCCACAGTAGCAGTAAAAGTAACTAGGAAGATAAAAATAAATGCAGGAGAGAAAACTAAAGTATTCCTTCTTCTCTACTTGGTGGTGGAACCACACCTTCTTTCTTTTTCTCTTTTTGCCTTCCAAAGTTGTGGCACAATTCTTCCAAGTGGTTTCTGGCTAGAGGACCAAAGAGTTGTGGATCCCAGGGAACCAGAAACCATCAAGAGAAAACAAGGAAGAATTCGGAAAGTGACCCCATTAAGCTACCAATAAACTTTTGGGCTCAACCCTAACTTATGCATGCACGCATGGAATTGATTTTAATAAGTACATTGCTGACTAGCACCCTATTTTAGTATACTGCTAATTAGCACTTTTGCGACCTGGGCTAATGGAGGTTATTTGACCAGGCTGACCACATGTTGGTGCATACACACAACAGATTCAAGTAGTACAAAGGCCTTGAAAACTGAATCAAATTGGTTGGGATGCAGTCTAACCAACCAAGTGAAATGTCTGGTAAAACAAAGGTACCAGGGCCTCCTTGGTGGCACAGGGGTTAAAGTTTCAGCACTATTGGGGCCCTCCCTGGTGGCCCAGCGGAGGGTTAAGGCATTGCACTAGGAAGCTAAAGCCACTTCCGCATGAGTTGATTCCCCTCTGCCCCGGATGTCATGGCGCAGCGCGGCAGACCTCTCCTGGCCCGCCTGCCCGCTGTTCCCCTCAGCAGCGTACTTCGTCGATCTGCCTGTTCTGCTCCCCATTCTGTCTATGGTGAAGCCTCTCGCCACTGCCCCCAAGCCTCTGGCCTGTACCCCAGTTCTGCATGCACAAATAAATAAATCTTTAAAAAAAAAGTTTCAGCACTATCAAGCTATTTATAAGCAAGACAAAAGTCTTGGTTACTATACAAGTACTCAATAGCAGAATGGAGATGAGAGCAGAGTCAATAAGCTTAAAGGTAAATAGCAATTATCCAGCCTGAACAACAGAAATTTTTTTTAAAAAGCTTTAAAAATATTAATAGTATCAATAATAAAGGTTTTAAAGTCATGTCACCAGAAAAGGCAAAAAATAAGAATGTGATGCTAAAAAATATATCTGAACAATGACCCAAAAGTTGCCATCTTTGGGAAAAATATAAATCTACAAATTCAAGAGGCTGAGTGTGTTGTGATGGGGATAAGAAAGAGTTATTGTTTAATGGGTACAGAGTTTCATTTGAGGAAGGTGAAAAGATCTGGTGACAGAGGTAATAAGGGCTGTACAACAATGTGAATTATATTTAATGCCACAGAACTGTACATTCAAAAGTGGTAAAAGCTTACCACTGTGGTGAACAGTGGTGTATTTCACCACAGAAAGAAAAAAAGGTGAGTCTACACCAAGTAGGAAAATCAAATAAATTCATGTCCAGAAACATATAGTCAAACTGCCAAAATTAAAGAAAATAACCAGAAAAAAAGACCATTAGAGTAAGGATTCAAACGCCTTCTAATTTGTTCATTAGAAAAAAAGAAATTATGGAAGGTGGATCCTTTCCTGGTGGCACAACAGGTTAGGAAGCAACACTGCAAGCGAGCCCGAGCCACCTCAGTGAGAGTTCAACTCCCAGGTCCAGAGGTGACCCACATGGCATGACAGACCTCTCCTGAGCTGCCCACTGCTCCCCTCAGCAGTGTACTTCATCGACATGCCTATTCTGCTCTGGCTTGTACCCCAGTTCTGTATGAATAAATAAATCTTAAAAAAAGAAAAGTACAGAAGGAGATGAAAACAGCACAATTACAAAGTGAAGAAAGAACTACAAACCCCAAATTTTTTATCTTCATAAAAATGTTCTTCAAGAATTAAGATAAAGACATTTCCAGCTAAAAGAAACAGATCTTCTGCAAGTGATCTAAGATACATGGAACTGCTGCTGGACATGTACAAGTAGCTGATGCCACTAAATAGTGCCTGCAAAATGGAGAATGAACAGGGGCTTGTGGTGGAAAAGCCATTCTCTGCTCAAGTGCCTATACAAGGTCAAGAAGGAGGTTCAGCACACAGAGAAGCCAGAGGCAGTGGAGATTTAACTGTGAAGCATGCTTATCCTGCCTACGGTGAGTAGCAGCTTGGTGGATATCCAACACTGAAGCAAGTGGAAATCAAGTCTGAGATAATTGGCCACTAGTTGGGCAAGATAGATCTCTATCACCTACAAACCAGTGCAGACCCAGCACTGCAGATTTCCTCTCCTCTCCTACTCCATCCCCCTCAAGTAGCCTGCACAGTAAAGGAACAGACATCTTTATTTAAAAAAGAAAGAAAGAAAGAAAGAAAGAATAAGTAAATAAATAAAAATGCTCAAATTCTTTAAACAAAAGGAAAAAATAATGACTGAAGGAAACAACATCAAGAGCATCAGAAATGAGTAACTGGATTTAACTATGACAGATCATTCTTATCTTGACTTAATTTAAAATATTTGGCAGATAAAAGCAAAACATACAACAATGCATGATAGAATTTTCTTTTTTTAAAGATTTATTTTATTTACGCATACAAAAACTGGAGTGTGGACCAGAGGTACAGGAGTGAGAGGATTCATCAGAGACAGAGTAAGGAGCAGAACAGGCAGATCTCCTGAAATAAATTGCTGAGGGGAGCTATCTGCAGCCACTGCAACATGAGTTTAATCCCTGGCCAGGGAAGTGACCCACATGGCACAGCAGACCTCTCCTGTCTTGCCCACTGCTCCCCATCAGCAGTGCTTTTCAGTCAATCTGCCTGTTATGCTCCTCACTCTGTCTCTGATAAATCATCCCCCTTGCTCTATCTGGTCTAGCTGCCTAGACCCTAGCTCTTGTATGCATAAATAAATCTTTAAAACATAATAAAATGTACTTAAATTTGATTATAATTTAATATACCATTTTTTTTAAATTTTTTTTTTAAAGATTTATTTATTTGTGCATACAGAACTGGGGTACAGGCCAGAGGCTCAGGGGCGGTGAGAGGCTTCACCGGAGACAGAGTGGGGAGCAGAACAGGCAGATCCACGAAGTACACTGCTGAGGGGAGCAGCGGGCGGGTCAGGAGAGGTCTGCCACGCCATGTGGTCACCTCCGGGGCAGGCGGGAATCGAACTCATGCGGAAGCGGCTTTTAGATTCTCAGTGCTGTGCTTTAACCCGCTGCGCCACCAGGGAGGGCCTAATATACCATTTTAAAGAGAGCTGATGAAAGTGTTAATGGGAATTCCACTTAATTCCATGGTTTCTGGTTTGTGCTAAAAGATACAGGCTCTGGGCCCTCCACGGTAGTGCAATGGGGTAAAGCACAGTCCTATGAAGCTATTGCAGCCACTGCAGCATAAGTTCAATTTCCAGCCAGGGGGGTGACCCATGTGGCGTGGCAGACCTCTCCTGACCCGCCCACTGCTCCCTCAGCAGTGTATTTCAGTAGATCTGCCTGTTCTGCTCTCCATTATCTCTAGTGAATCCTCTTACCCTCCCCTGCCCTGCACCTCTTGTCTGCACCCTAATTCTTATATGCATAAATAAATAAATCTTTAAAAATAAAAAATAAGAGACATAAGAACCCTTATTATTCAAGGGACATAAAATGCTTAGGTAAAAGGAAGGTGCAAATGAAACTATTATTACCTGCTGCACAGCTAGTGTACTGTCCATTTCATCAAATGATTCATCAGGCCAATTATAGAAATCCTATAAAAAGAATTCATGGTTAAAGCACATGTAAAGAAACAAAGAGATGCAAAATTATTATGACTAACTTCAATTCTTAAAAAAGATTCAATGCTACACTAAAAGAAAAGCTCTCATATTGTAAATGATGTGATTATCAATAAAATAAGTTAAAGGCAATTTAATGTTTTTAAACGTCTTTGAATTGATTTAATTAAACCATAGATTTTTTATTATTAACAGTTCATTTTTACATCATTTTGTACATTTTTTTTTTCATTTCAATTGTAATCCCCACGGGTCATATATATATATTTTTTAACCTCAAGTTCCTCAAACATGACTCCTATTAACTCAAGTATTAACTGGGGAAGTAAGTTGATCACTTTTTATGTGGTTAAATCTTCTTTAAAAGAATTATACTGAAGGCCCTCCCTGGTGGTGCAATGTGTTAAAGCACAGCACTATGAAGCTATCCACTGCAGCATGAATTCAATTCCCAGCTAGGGAGCTGACCTATCCTGTCTCGCCCCTGCTCCCCTCAGCAGTGTAAACTGTCAATCTGCTTGTTCTGCTTCCCACTCTGTCTTTGGTGAATCCTCTCACTGCTCCTGAGCCTCTGGCCTGTACCCCAGTACTGTATGCATAAATAAATAAATTTTAAAAAATTGTACTGGAAAAAAATTCAGGCACAAAAAAAAAATTGAATTTTCTCACCCAAAGAGAGCAGCTAGTATTAGTAATTAATTTACTGCTCCATTATTAGACAGATTATAAATTATTATTCTAATACCAAAAGGTGTTCTAAATTTTCAAAGCTAAATATGAATTTCATCAAAAAGAACAGAACCAAACAGAACCTTCCTTTAAAAAGAGTATTTTTTGTGGGTCTTTCTAATACTAATTTTCAATTGCTCTATATAGTCCAGTTCACAGGTAGTCCCTTAAATGATTTAGAACCTTTCCAATTCAACTAATTTTTCAGCAAATTTTACCTACATATCTCTAGAAGGGAGCAAACTGTCTGACAATAAATGTCTTTAGGGTAAAACTGTGAGAAAGAAGTACCAGTAAACCAATGATCAATAAAACCTGTATCAATCAATACAAGTAATTTTACAAATACTTTGGGAGAGAGAGTGAATTGGAGAATTTAGTTTATGAATTCATTATATGATAAATGTTAATGTGATAGCACATAAATAAAAAGTTAAGAAAGTACAGAGCATACTTACGATATAATGCATAGTATTTAAAAGAATAAGGAAAAATAACCATTACTAAAGTGAGTAGAAGGTAATAAAGTGTGATACAGAAGGACTCAACTACATTTGCAACCTCTTAGTTCTGAGGGGAATGAGACAGGAACGAGCTATACTATTTTTAGAGGTGACAGGATAATGGAAACAGAGACTGCAGTGATAACACTTGGAAAATGGAGGAAATTGCCACAAGCCAAGGAATAAAGGCAGTCACCAGAAGTTCAGAGCCCCCAGAAGGAACTCTGTCAACTCTAGCTTTAACTGTATAGCTCAGTGAAAATTTTCTGATTTTGAACTCCTGACTTTTGTAAGGAAATACATTTGTGTTGTTTTAAGTCACTAAATTGATAGCAATACATTACAGCAATCAAAGGAAACAAAGGCAGGTGTATATACACTAAAAGAGATCATGATAAATTCTCAAGTGGAAAAAGAAATTGCAGCGCAGATAAACAAAGGGAGGCTTGAGGGGGGAAGAGAGTGACACCAAGAACTACTTTATTAAACATTTAAAAAAAGAAAAAACTTTCTGGAAATTGTTCCAAGATGCCTTTTCCTAAACAGGAACTAAACATTTTATATTAAAGAGTAGTTTTAAAATTCATTCTATATTACATACTTAAAAATGTTTCTATCAATATGCTTTATATATTCTTTTTTAAAAATTGCAGAATATTTCATTTTTTAAATACTAGAAAACACAGATAATGTAGAAATACATAGAAAAGCTGTTAAAAAGTTCACTGGGAATTAAAATTTTGCCTCGGCATAACTAGAATACATTTAAACATTTATAAGAGAAACTTAAAAAATCTGGTTTAATGAACATTCTGAGGTAATTCAAATGTTAAACAAATATTAACAATATTAACCAATTAAAGCAGTTAGGAAGATATGCCATGTACTCTAATGCTTAATAAACCATTTTAGAATACACCCATTTCACTGAAGGAAATTAGACAAGGGTGAGAACAGACTGATTTTTAAATTAGCATCTTTTCTGTCTCACATTTTTTAACAAACTTAATCCACAACAATGTGGGGGGAAAACGCAAAGGAACTATCCTACATGTGACTTACTCCTAACAGGGTAAAGCAAACAGAAGTGTTACAATACTGACATATAATATTTTTTAAACCTTTCAAAATTATGAAACTTGGAGCACATAAACACGGATAATTCTCAGAATGTGAATACAAAATTCCATTTCTGAATGTACTTTTCTGTAAGTGTACATTTTTAACACACTTCTTTATAGCATTCACTCTTAAGCTAGTTCAATTGGAATATTAACCAGATCAAGTCTAAATGCCTACTTGTTATGTTAAGAATTTAAGACTTAACGTCTTTTGCAAATTCCAAGAACCGATGCCTACCCACAAGCACCAACTCTCAAACAGTGCCTACCAAAGTAAATCAAATTATAAACCGTTCATTCCTTGACTGCTTTATAGACAACAACACGGAAATGCACAAGACATGCCATGTTAGCAAGTCGCGACTTGATGATGAACACTTGCTGGATCAGGGAACAGCTGCAGCGATCCGTGATCAAAAGCAAACGGCAGGAAGAGGATGAAGTAAATTATTGTCACTCGGATCCGGCCAGACCAGCTGGACGGCAGAAGCCGGCGGCTACGTCACAGCCAGGTAGGCACTGGGGGGCCAGCACGAAGTGGCCAGACTACACCCCCTCTCGCCCGGCAGCCCTGACTCTTGCGAAACCCTTGGAGTCTCCACCTGACAGGCCGCAACCCACCCACGCTGGCCAGCTGGGGTTCAGTGGCGAGGGAAGAACAAGCAGCCATCTATGACAGGCTCCCAGGCCTAGGCTTCGCCGCCCGAGGGCCCGGCTCCGTAGGCCTCGCGGGCGGCAGCCTCAACCCCGCTCAGGAGAGGCTCCGGAAGAACAGGCCGGGCGCCAGTGCTTGCCGCCCAGGCCCGGCCCAACCGCCCCTCAGGGGCAACAGCTTCAAAGCGCGATGCGAAGTGGCACCGAGAATTACCCAGGCGTAAAGTGAACAGACAGTACCTGTGCCTTGGTACCCGGCCTGTTCCTCCTCAACACTGCCGTCCCCTCCGCCATGACCATAGTGCCAGAGTCCGGGCTACTGGAGTAGGTACCCGGATGTAGGGGGATGGCTGCCTGCGCGGGGGGCGGGGCGGAGCTGCGCTCTTCGAGCAGGCGCCTGGGAGGGTCTGTGGTTGACGTAACAGCAGTAGCCCGCGCGGAGCAGGGCGGGAAAAGAGGTAGGAGTCCGGAAGAGGCCGGCCTCCGGGAGGAGGGAGGCGGACGGAGAAACAGCGGGCGGCCCCGTGCTGGTAGCAGTCACCGGGACGGCTTGGATAGAGTCCGTAACTGGCGCGGAGGGCCGCTGCGAAGGTGTTGGAGATCTGTGTCACATGTCGGTGCATCTCCTTGGGTTTACGTTAATTACGCTGGAAGGACAGTTCTTGCACGATGGCAAGCGTTTTAGTAAATGCTTGTGCAAGCAAATACCCAGAAAAGCATAATTCTGACCCTAAATACAATTGCAAAGTAGAAAACAGGTCAGCTTTCTGGGAAAATTCCACAGACGTTGTGTGAAAGCAATCCAATCTCAAATCAGAGTTGGGCTATCGGTTAACGAATTTATAAGTTAAGTGCAGGTGCCAGTTATCGCAGAGTTTTGTGTTTTTTTGTTTTTGGTTTTTGGTTTTTTGGTTTTGTGCCTTAGATGTGAAATTTTCCAAGGCAGAAGCAGAACAAAATAAATGTCTCTGCATAGGTGGTGGAAGTTTTAGATGACACGGAATTCCAAGCTTTTAACATTCTCTTAAATTATGACTCATGGCAGTTGGGCCACGTTATTTAATCCTGCTTAGAAACCTTAAATCTAAACTACGATTTCAAGTTATCAGAAGGGAAGATAGTTCAAAGGGTAATGAGTGTATACAGTAGGATGATTCCCAAAAGAAGAAAACCTTCAGATATCCCTAAATTAAGATTGTATTGAGAACGCTGAGATGGGAGTCATGTCAAAGATAGCATCCAGGGGAGAGACCTAAAGGAGAGATTGGTGAAATTTAAGTGTATGTGAAGCTAAGTAATTGTCTAAGAACTTTGTTCAAGGGGTTTGTCAGTTGAATGTTGGTTTGTCTTTAGGTAACAGTCCTTATTTCAAGAAAATGTGTGGACTGGTAATTCTTCAAAAGCTAAGCTTTAATTCTTTACCACTAACTCCTAGATAGCAAAAGATTATTCATTCAATAAATACTCACTATGTGCTCGCTGCTGTGCGTCAGGCATTGAAGTACTAGTATGAAAATGTCCAATCCTTAACCATAAATCACTTACCATCTAACAAGGGACATAGATGTGCAGCTCACCAATTCTCATACTAAATTCAGTAAAATTGAGGACAGTTGGGCACCCCAATGTAACATCCTTAAGAGAGTGGACATGGGGTGGGTGTGTGGAGAACAGAGACCTTCATTGACCACATTACTCAAAGGATTAAATTTAAATTTTTCAGAATGTGCTGTAGTTTCCCTGTATTGTAAATAGCAGTTACATATAGTTTAAGGGGTAACTTCAACTTTAAGTATAATTAGGATAACTAAAAGAATATAATATTCTCTTAATTTCAGATAAACTGTTTCAGTCCAGATAAAATAAGAGAAAATGTGAACAAGTAGATATTAAATTCAGAAACAAAGTACACATTCATCTCTTTGAAAGGTCTAATTGTATTGTGACGCCAACTTTAGCCTTGTTT